TCCTGAGCTAACATCCACTGCCAATCCTCCTCTTTTTGCCGAGGAAGACTGGCCCTGAGCTAACATCCATGCCCATCTTCCTCTACTTTATATGTGGGACACCTACCACAGCATGGATTAGCCAAGCGGTGCCATGTCCACACCCAGGATCTGAACAGGCAAACCCTGGGCCGCCGAAGCAGAACGTGCCCACTTAACCGCTGTGCCACCAGGCCGGCCCAAAGGTAATTTTTATTCTCTTCTTTTTGCTTATCTGTCTTTTCTATGATAAACATACAATAGTTTTAGAAACTTAAAATTTTTTTCCTCCAGAAAACTCCTTAGAAACTCATCTGATTCTTTCACTTACTCATTCTTGCTTTTGTATTCTCGCCTTTGTGCTTTACAGCTGGATCTTGCAAACAACATAGATTCTACCAGCTTAGAGATAAAGCCCACGGCAAATGCATTATGATTCAAGTTATGTCTTAACAAGAACGTCAGTGAGCTAGCTTCTCTGCACATTGGAAGATGAGCTTTCCTAAGTACAAGAAAATCTTTATTCGGGGCTAAAAAAACCCCAATAAATTTAAACTCTAGTGTTAACCAAAAACATGCAAAACAAAATAAAGTGCTGTTTTATGCTCATCGTATCAGCAAACGTTAAAACCATGATAGCACGGGGCTGGCAAGGTCGTAAGAAGAAACACGGTCATGCAGTGCACTGAACAATGCGTACTTTCAAAAGTTAACCCACTGAAAAAAGAATCCATTTTAGCATTTAGGCAAATTTTCTCACACGTTGGTTTTCTTTCCACTAATAATAAATTTATTTGCATCCATCTCTGAAGTCCTTTGCTTCATCGATTTTCTTTATAATGTTTGAAACACAGTTTCCTAAGACATGTCACAAGACATAGGAAAATAGCTGTTTATTTATTTTTGTTTATTATTGTCCTGTGTGTGATTCAAAAGAATTTTCCGAATGGAACTGTCACCTGTTTGGCATCTTAGAACACAGACGGGTGGGCAGTGGGCGGGTGCAGAGGCTGAGAGGCATAGGCACCAGTCACACCTTCTCCACGGGCAGTCCGGTCTATCTAATCTTCATCAGCTAAACATACACAGGTACCTTAAAGAGAACTGCATAGCCAGAAAGATGGTACTCAGGAAGGTATTAAAGAAGAGAGGCTACCCAGAAAATCGCATCCCATCATAGAAAAGTCAGCCACGCTCCTAGCAGGGGACATGACCGCTAGTTTTAAATACACTGACCCCGTTTCACATACAGAATCACAGACTCTGAGCGGGGAGGAAGCCCCAAGAAGGCTTTCAGCCCCTCCCAGGTCCTTTTCCACACACTCCACTAAGGGGTCTGGTGGAATCAGTAACAAATCAGGGCAGCAATTTATTCTCCTTATTTATAGTTTGGTGAGCACGCTTAAACAGAAAGCTGGCCGCTGTTGAGTGGCTTTTGATTAGCAAGGCTGCAAGAAGTGCTCGCTCTCTCCTCCAGAAACGGGCTATCTGCAAAAGGCAGTTCTCCTGAGAATGTTCCACAGCGTGCCAACCACCTTGAGCACTGTTCTGCTTCACCATCCTTTGTCTCACAGTGAGAATGTGTGTGAGCACACACGCGTGGGGGTGGCTCTGGCCCATAGTGACAGGAGAGTGCAGAGAAAGGAAGCCTAATACTCTCACTTTCCTCCCCCCACCCAAACGGAGATGGTGACTGGGAAAACGACTTCCACTGCGGAAGCACACCCCAAAGACAGCTCAGATGGGCAATGAAGGGAAAGCAATGTGGCTCGCCAGCTGAGCAGTGCGAAATGCTCTGATATACTGCAAGGCGGAACCGACTTTAAAAAATAAAAGAAAGAGAGAGTCGTGGCCCTTTTCTCCCCCTGCTTGTTGTTGACTCTCCGAAATGCTGGGTCTGGCGCGGTTCTGATCCCTGGAGTTTGATGTACGTTGATTCACAGACTGCTGCGTGTCTGCACCAGATGGCCTGGAGTTAATGAACACAAACTCATCACTTTTGCTCACCAGGGAAATGTGCAGCTCAATCTGATTTGTAGTCTATAACTAAAAATATTTGAGTATTTTTAGGGAGCATTTTACTGAGACAAAATGGCACTTCAGGAAAGCATTAAAAGAACAGAGACTAACCAGCAAATTGCAACTGCAAATTTCTACACATTGATAAGCCAGCTCTCAGATCATCTTTGACCAAAGTTAAAGTAATATGTTAGGAACTGCACATGAACGACGGCCCCATCCTGCTCTCCCGCCCCCTTCCTCCTCTCCAACCCCTCTGCCCTGACCCAGCCGAACTTGTGGTCCCAAAGCACAACATGGAACTCGTTCCAAACACTAGATTTTCTCATTTACATACTAGCAAAAACATTTGTCATAGGGTGGATACCAACACACACACACATATAGAGTCTTACATATTATTTTAATGTATCCTTGTCTATATGTTCTTATACCTGACATTTTTAGGATTCAAAAAAAATTCCTTAAATTGACTCTGCAAGATCTCCGTCTTGTCCAACTGTGATAGAACATTGTTCAACCAGATGTTTGCCTGGTCCTCAGCACCAGCAAACAGAATGGGTGACTCCTAATAATGAATTAAGAAAGAGGAAGTTGTTTCTTATAGCTCACTGTTCCCCTTCTCTAAACTCCCACGTTTCCTGCTGTTTTACTAAATCTTAGCAATTCGGCTCACAAACATTAAAGTCATAGCTGCATAAGTCAGCTCGTTCTCATCTCTCTCCCAACAAGGCCAACAACCGCACAATTGGGTTCTTTTGTCATGAACTGTGAACTTGGGACATCCAGGGTCGAGACAAAGTTCCTTACAGACTCGAAACCTGGGTCTCAGCTGGGAGTTTGTTAGACATGCCGACTCTCAGGCCCACACCCAAACCTACTGAATCCAAGTCTGCATTTTAACAAGATCCCCAGGTGACCCGTACGTAGGTGAAAGTTTGAGCAGCACTGCCTTATAGTCATCTAATTATGTATAACCATGTTTGAATCTGGATCACAAGTGTTCTTACAGGTTGTACTGTCTTAACGGGGAAGTAGTTTAATGATCTAGAACCCTTCTCTATAAAGATATTTTACCAGTACCAGGTTCTAACAGAAACCTTTGACCTTTTCATAGTGACCATCTTTACAAGTAGAAGCTACTCCACTGTTTAGAAGAAAAAAAATCATTGTTCATTACAGAGTGTTCTTTGCACAGATTAGCACAAGGGAGGGAAAGTAAAGTGTTTTTCACTTGAACGGATGAGCTTGGAAATAGGGTGTCACTACCAAGCCATAAGCTTCCAGTGAAGCATCTCCACCTGCCTTTGGCAAGATGTCTTCTGACCCACAGCCTTCTCCTGCTTAGACAGCTTAAATGAGCTTCTCCTTTCGGCCAGTTCTGGAGCAGCGGCATAGAATTAACAGGAAATAACAGTTTTGTGTGGTGGTCTAAAAAACACCCTCTCTGTCACCACAGGCAGGAGGAGGCAGTGAGGAGGCCTCTGGCTGCTCAGGACCCCCCCGTTTAACCCTTCTCGGCCAGGCTGGCTGCAGCAAATGGCTAAGAGAGTCTGAAATGATGCTGGAACCAGAAGCTATCCAGAGAAGGCAGCGTGAGGGAAAGACTGCTGCTGCGGAGGTGGAGGCAGAGGCCTCTGTAGGCACTGCTACGGGGAGAGTCGCTAGGGGCTTGGCTTTGGTGCTGCTGAGCACAGGGGGGCTGCCGGCCACAGCAATTGGATGGTGCTGGGGCCAGAGACAAAGGGTGAACCGACTACAAGCTCACTCAGCCAGACGGCTGGCAAATCCAACCCTGCAAATTTGAGAGCTGCTCTCTGGTTCCAATTCAAACACCGTGGCTGCTGATAAGTGAGTTCTAATTTGGGGGAAAAACTACGGTGGTTCGGGACTAATTTAACTCCTTGACAATAGATTCACAGGATGTCAGAGCAGGAAAGACTTTATATGACCTTGTCATCCAGGAGTTTCAGATTCAAATAGCTTCAAAAGACAGTCAACGAGTTGAGTGAGAAGGATCTAGAACTGCATTGTCCAATAGGATAACCACTGGCTACAGGTGGCAAGTGTATACTTAATATGTGGCTAGTTCAAATTGAGAGGTGCTGTAAGCATAAAATACAAAGTTTTTCAAAGGTACAGAAGGAGAAAAAATGTCAAATAGCTCATTAATAACTTATATTAACTATATATTGAAGTGAAAATGTTTTGATATATTGGGTTCAATAAATTATTAAAATTAATTTCACCTGTTTCTTTTTAATGTTTTTGATGTAGCTGTCAGACAATTTTAAGTTACATATGTGACTCAGATTTGTGATTTGCATTACATTTCTATGGGACAGTGTTGGTCAAGAACAACGGAGAAGGATGGAGACTACAGCTAACTGCAAAGTAGATGCCTTTTTGAAAGGTGTTAAAATTCAGGCTAAAAAAAAGAAAAGAAAGAAGACTTCTGACCAAATTCCACTCACAAGTCACTGCTTTGTGACTAACGATTTTTTTTTTAAAGGGGGAGGAAATGCCCCAATTGCACAGCTAGTTAATATAAAGGCTATAATGAAAACCCAGGACTCCTGACTCTTGGAGTCCAGCAATTTTTCCTATGGAGGTTCGTTTGACAAAGTCAAAAGCTTAAATGGCAGCTAGAAGGGAACCTGTGACCTTCATTTAGTCCCTTTACCTGTCTGGCATTGGTACCTGTAAAATGAGGGGCGCTATGGTCTGAACGTGTCCCCTGAAATTCAGATGTTGAAAACCTAACTCCCAAGGCGATGGTATTAGGAGGTGGCGCCTTTGGGAGGTGATTAGGTCATGAGGGTAGTGTTCTAATGAATGCAGTTAATGCTCTAAAAGAGGGCTGAGAGAGCTCCCTGGCCCCTCCCACCATGTGAGGATACAAGAAGTCTGAAGGAAAAGAGCCCTCACCTGACCATGCTGGCTCTCAGACTTCTAGCCTCCAGAGCTGTGAGAAATAAAGTTCTATTGTTTAAAAGCTACCCAGTCTGTGATATTTTGTTACAGCAGCCTGAAGGAACGAAGACAAGGGCATTATATGAAAAGGCCCCTTGGCCCCCTTAGCTCTGACATTTTAGCATTCACGGGCCTCACACAGAGAACTCAAGAGTGACCTGTTAGAGACATTAAGGGTGATGGGACTTGAGGGCCAAATGAACAGCAATGGGGAGACAGCAGTTCTCTAAGAACTAAGCTGTCAGAGTCCCAGTCCTGTACCAGTCCAATTTCATTGAATAAATATTTACTGATTTCCAATAAGTGTCAGCCTTGTGCTGGGCATGGTGTGGAGGGAGTTTACAAAACCAACGAAGGCAAGGCCTCATATCTTCGAGGACTTAGAGGACTCAGAGACACATGCTCAAGGCTCATTACCAAGGTCACGAATGCAAACGTGCAAATGTTAGCAAATGGGCAGGATGCCAAATGGTTGCAGAGGAGAACGCAATGACAAAGGGAGTTAAGGGCGGCGTCACAGAAGAGTTGGGCTTTTAATTCAATCTTGAAGAATGAAAAAAAATGAAGGGCTAAAGATATTCTGAGGGAATAGTATGTATAAATGTATATCATGATGAAACCAAGGAGAATGGAGAAGAACGTAGCAGATCAGAGAAACGCTGTATGCGAAGCATGCATTGTGCATGTTATTAAAGCCATTTGAAAGAGCTGCCTTGCAACTCATGACAACAAAGGTGAATCTGCTGGCACTGTAAATGTTGGTGCTACCAAAGGAATCTCTAAATATAAATTTCAGCAACTTAAACAATGAATGTATTCTGTTTTATTTGTGATTGTTTTAATTTATGATTATCATGCATAATTTGCTTTATCTAATCGTGTTTTAAAACTAATAGATGAATTGCATATGATTATTCAGATTTTGTAGGCGTTCTTTTTTTTAATTGAAATAGACCTGACATAACAATACCCTATTAGTTTCCGATGTATGTAGGCCTTCTTTTTATTCCACTTTCTTAGGCTGGCATCTTACATGGTGCTGGCATTCTCTTCATCAGATGCAGAAATTCACAAACCAAAATACCAAGTTGGCAAGTTTTTCGGATAGTGCAAGCCACAGAGCAGCATTTCCTTCTTTTCCACCAGGCTGGTCTCTGAGACTCGTTATGCGTGCCTCTTCTTCAGCAAGCCTTCTCTCCTCGAATACCTCCCAGAGCCCAGCTACCTGTTAGTCCCAATTCTGCCAAACTATCCCTCTTTCCAGTACAATATATGAGTGCAAAGTGTTAAGGAGGAAGGAAATCAATATTTTAGATGCCTCAGTACTGTGAACTGAACTGCTACTAAAGAGAAGCCAATTATCTCTGGATATAAGTTGGGAAACAGGCATTTGGCCATGCTGCTGGTACAGACCTCAAAAAGAGATCCCCTGGGGAGAGGGCCCTAGCCCTTCCTCAAATACACAGTAATTTAGTAGCACGACAAAAGGAAGGACTAAGTAAATGCCGATAGTTCAGACACATAATTACTCTGATACTCTGTCTATATGATCCCACGATTTACAAGCAAACTCTCAATTGCAGGTTTGAATTAATCAACCCCAAGTCAATCTAAAGATGAACCCATTTTATATGAGGGTTGTTCTCGACGCACAGACCAGCTGCATCATTCATTCATGCGTTCAACAAATATTTATGTGCTTATTCTATAAAAAACCAAAGATAGCTAGGGTGGGTGTTTCAATGAGCTTAGTCCAGTAAGAGAGAGAAGGATCTGCTTTGCTAACTGCAACACAGGGCAGCATATATCACTGCCACTGGGATGATGCAGGGGAGTGACTAGTCATTCATTTAGGCTGGAGTGATGGTAAAGGCAGCAGACAGGAGGGAAGGGAAAGGCAAGTCCTAGAAATGAGAATTAGGACAATCTGATCAGACAGTCAAGTGTGTGTCAAGGAGGAGTGAGCACTATGGTGGGCGTAATCATTTCAGATCCTATTGTACAGAGCTCTGAATGCCAGGCTCTGATGTGTGAGGCCACAGAAGAGCAAAAAAGAAGCAAAACCAAAGTGGAAGTTTGGAACAATGTGGAGGATGGATTAGACAGGATGAGACTAGAACCCAGTGACCAGGTGGGAGGCTGAGGCAACAGAATAAGGGTTGAAATAGGAGTGAACAGAAATGGAAAAGACAAAGATGAAGGAGATGTACTGGGGACCCCATGGCTGTGGGGGACAAGGAAAGTGTTTGGTAGAACAGTGGGACTTTAAAAAATGGGAGTGTTTAGTTAGCGCCCCCTACAACTTCCCCATGCCCACAGCCTCCAGTGTCTCAAGGAGGAATTAGCTTGGGAAAAAGACCAAAAGTTTGGTTGTAGACATATTAATTGTGAGATGCAAGTGGGGTATCCAGTTAAAAATATCCATAAAGCCGCAGGAAAAGTGGACTGGAAGGTGGAAAGTAGGAGACAAATTGGGCTGTATTTGATATTCATCAGTCATTATATAATGATATTTTTATAACTATATGTAATTAACATTTATATTTACTATAAGCTGACTGGCTACGAGACACTGTGCTAGGGACTGGAGATACAATGGTGAACAAGACAGACTCCCTGCCCTAAAGGAGTTTCTGGACTGAAAAAGGAAACAAACTAGTAACGATTATAATAAATGAGGATAAGTGTTACGATAAAAATGCAGGTGCTATGAAAACACATTGGAGGGGGGCTTACGCCAGAATTATGGAGTCAGGAAAGGAATGTGTGAGGAAAGAGAACAAGTAGCAGCAGACTAGCACCTTGAGTTGGGGGAATGGTGAGAGACTGAATATACAGGTGGACAATGACCAGACTATCTATAAAAAGAGAACTCTGATCTGGAGCACCCAGCCCAGGAAGCCGACCTACTGTCCACAGTCACCAGCCCCGGAAGCCAAACAATAACCCCTGTAGCAATTGGCCCCAAACAGCCAGGACTCAGCTAATAACTGCCAGTTTCCCTAGTGTATGCCCCTACTTCCAACTAAGGACCAACCACAGAAAGCCAAATATGCACCCCTACCCAATCGCATAGGATATCCCACTTCTAGTTAGCCCCCCTGCAACTTCCCCATGCCCACAGCCTCCAGTCAGGGCACACTGGAAGCCTTCCCTTCTTTCCACTAGGCAGCTTTCCCTCTCCTGCTTGCCTCTGAGTCTCTGCCAAACGCAAGTGACAGTGGCTGACTCCTTTGTTATAGTAAGGTCTGAATGAAGAGCCATTCCTCGCTCCCATTCGGTGGTCTTCATTGATTTCCACCACAGCATGTGACTGTGCAGGACTGGAGTGCAGTGGATGTGTGTTGAGGTGGAGGGTCAGCAGAAGGGAAGGGAGTTTGGGCTAAGGAGAGCAGGGAATCAGCAACTATATTAGGAATGACATTTTAAGCCAGGAGAAGCAGTATAAAGTTTATGCTGAGTGTAAAGTCGTCCATAAAGAGGCAAGAGCTGATTCTGAATCTTTAGTCCCATCTTTCCAGGACTAGTTTTCAGAGAGTGAGCAAAGGAATGGGTAGGCATGAGTCTACACTTACTGAGGCAAGGACCCAAAGTCACTCAGTCTCTGCCCACCGTAGAAGAAGTAAGGGGTCCAGGGACGCCCTACTACCCTTAGGGGACTTTGCAAATTTAAAACACTGAGCAAGAGGTGATGCTTGAGCTGCCCTAACACACACACCTAGACACAAATATGACACAACAAACCAAGTAAATAAACAAAACATGAGGAAGACAGGAGAGGATGGCTGAATTACGACTGTATCAGAGCAGGCTGTCAAATGGTTAAATAAAAACATGAATTCGCTAAAACGCCTCCATTTTGAACAAAGGCTGCAACGAAATGGCAGATTTGAGGTTTTAGTCCCCTCCGATCAGGTTTAACTTCATGCAAACACACCCCGATTTGCCAAACTTCGTTAGAGTGAATTTAAAACACCAGAAAAGAAATGGAACCTTGAAGAAAGTGCTTCTTTTAATTATGCTATATTTTAACAGATACATTTACAATCTCATCACAAGTTTTCTTGAAAATATATTTACTAGAATTCATTATGAATATTATTTGTAATAGTAAGTTACATTTGCATAGCTCTGTACCACTTTCAAGATACTTCCAAGCACATCTGATTTCCAAATTGTATGGGTGATGGAAAAGGGAGTGTGTGTGTGTGTGTGTGTATGTGTGTTGACAGGTGGACCCTTGGATCACTTGGTCCAAGACTCTCCCTTTACTCCTGGGGAAAATGTCTATTTCTAGTTAGAAATAGACTGGACACAAAAGCACATCTCTTGACTCTCAGGCTGGCCCTCTATGCATTCTTAGTAACCCAATCCCATCTTACTGACCAGAAGACTGTGGCTAAGGGGGTGGGTGGTAGACTGTTACACTAATAGCCAGGAATCATGCCTGCTGAGAGACACAATCTTGTGCAGTCCCCTTACACATCAACTTTGGGCTTGAACACGTGACTTGCTTTAGCCAATGGAACATCAGCAAAATAAGCAGAGGCTTGATAAGCACCTGTACGTCGGGGCTCAGCATTCTGCCGCCACCTTGTGAGACAGCCCAACCCGGGCTAACCTCCTTGAGGAGGAAAGACCACGTGAAGAGAAAGAGATCCAGCTCCCCAACTGAGCCCAGTCGCCAGGTGACCCACCAACTAAACGTAGTCACATGAATGAGTCCAGGCTGAAATCAACAGAATGATCCAGACAACCCACAGAATCATGAGAAACAGAAAATCATCTTTGATTTACACTACCAAGTTCTGAGGTGGTCTGTTGGGCAGCGATAGATAACCGATGCACTAAGGAATAGGAAACTTAGCCATGGCAGTCATTCTCAGGTCCAAGAGCAGACCTGAGGTCTTCAAAATCTACGACCTCACACAAGAATGGAGAACTATTTGGTCAACTGAGCTGTCACTGACTTGGAAACCTGAGGTTTCAAGTTCTAGATCCCCTCAAAATCACTGCAGTTAGCTCATCCAGCTGCTTAACAATTTTTGATTCTCATTTTATGCAACATAAACGCCTCCTCTTAAGGCCATTGGGTAAGGCTGGTGTTGCATGCCTGAGAGTGGAGGGAACCAGTCACCACTCTCTAGACCAACATTAGAGGTGACAGCTGCTGAGACATATTGGTACAGATGTGGTGAAGGACGACCAGAGAGACAAAGGCATCTGCCTTGGTCACACAGCTCCTGGTATAAGGGACAGGAGGAGAACCCAGGTCTTCTCACTCCAAAGCCGGTATCTCTTAGGTGATAGATGCTACTTCCTTACCAAGAGGGAGAAGCTCCAATCCCGAGGCTTAGAGATAATGATCACATGTCAGTTCTAGGCATGATGCTGCCATTTGGGACTATAGAGCGTTCCATCTTCCTCAAAGACCTTTGAGTGACCAACAGAGCCACAAGAGATGTCTCCTAGAGAGACACTCAGCACGACTGAGGATGGCTTAATTTATTCATTCATTATTGACACCCACATATGTCCGAATGGGGTCTGAGATGGCAGGGCCATAAATTGTAGATTATCTCATTTGGCTGAATACATAAAACTAGTTATTTATAGGACACTATTTTAAAATCTCTGTCTTTTGTTGTTCATTTGCTGGTGAAGTCTTCAAATTCACGTAAACTGTTTAGAAACAATATTAAAATTTTTGCAGCAGAAATCTGTTGGCTTGTATGTGAAGGCCACCGGGGACCAGCCCCCACTCCCTCCAAGGAACAAAGCGTTATATTAACATTCGTTGAATAAGGAGAACTGGGTCACCTACCATCACTAAGCTCTCCCACGAACTGATTAGTAGACAATTAAAAAGTGGTTTGGGAATGCAATTTGCAAATGGATGGTGCTACAGAAGCACACATTCCACTTTGGGAGAAAAAAAAGAAAAAGAAAAACATATGCTACAAATAAATTTTAATCATCATAAATCATGCTTCAGTTTATTCAACTGTAATAATACTATTCGTTGGCTCATTATGAGGTTTCATACCACCTTGAAAACACTGATCACGCCTGCATGACGTACAGCATGGATTGTTGGGTCTGACATGTAAACTAATTACATCCGATTTTAGCTCTGCCTCGAGCCTGTTGGGAAGGCAGACAGACATGGCATTTCACCGCAAAGCCTGGAATCCGCTGGCTTCGCTCAGTTGCTGAGCCAGCCTGAATGCTGTCAGAAAGAGAAACAATTGAGACCACAAGATGGAAAACAGCCAGTAGTAATTCTAAGGTGTGGTGACTGCTCTAATATTACAAATGCACACCTCAAAGAATTCTTCTGAAGCTAAAAGAAGAATATAAAAGTGATTAACAAGTCAGAGGGTTCTATCAGAGTGTGATGGTGGCTAATATTTGTTGGATGCTTTATGCAAAATGCCAGTCCCTTTCCATACATTATCTCATTTAATTTTCTCAGGAAGCCTACGAGGTAGATAATTTTATTGTCCACATTTTATACATGAGGACACTGAGGCCAGAGAAGTTAAGAAACTTGCCCAAGGTCATAGAGTAGCATAGCAGGGATTGGCACCCAGCTGTTTTTCACTTGAGCCTGGGCCCTAAGCCACTACACTGAGATGGAGGTCAAGCCCAGTGGTCAGAAGCTCTAGGTTATAAACTCAGTTTGGCATTTGGGCTCTGAGGCCCCCTCTAAGGCCCTTTGCCAGCTGTATGGGTGTGTGATTCAGTGATCTCTGCTTTGATTTCTGTGCTTCTCTGTGAGACAGACCAACATGGCAGGATGTACCCTATATACTCAAGATCAACAGTTCCGTGTGGCTCCAGGACCCCTGAGGGTCCCCAAGATTTTTTCCAGGGTCCACAAAATCAAAACTATTTTCACAATAATACTAAAAAACATTTCCTTCTTTCACTCTCATTCTTTCATGAGTGTAGGTGGAATTTTCCAGAAGTTGCACGCAGTGTGATGACATCATCACTGTGACAGCTAAGGGAACATGGGCTTGTGTCTTAAAAATCTCAATTTTAATTTCTAATATGGTAAATGTCAACAGATATAACCCTGAAAAACAAAAGTCGATTGGGGTCCTCAATAATTTTTAGAGTTTAAAGAGGTCCTGAGTCCAAGAACGTCTGAGAACCGCCGCTGAAGGTCACGCCTATAAGAACAATGGAAATAAAACAGCCTAAAATCTCAAACCCTACAGAAGAGAACTTAAGAACAAAAAGACCTGTTTTGTTTTGCACAGCTGATTACTAACAAGCCATTTTTAACTCATTGGGTTGAGCCGATCCAGCTGACTCACAGGCGCGGGAGGATGAGAGTGGGAAAGAAGGCTGCCTGACGAGGACCTTGTGGGCCGACCCTTCCCTAAATCCTTAACCACGGGTTGAGAGCTCACCACTCAGGCGCTGCTCATGTCAGGGGAGGAAATGCATTGGTGGAAGACAGAGGTATAAACATACCTCAGTTAGCAACTGTCCTGACCCACGCCTTCTTCACCACAGCTGGCTGTTCAGTGTGGCATCTCTTGAGCAAGCCACTTGGCTCTGTAGGCCAACTGCGGATGGAACCGGAGACTTCCACATAAACTGAATACAATGTGCCGGGATGGAAAGAGCTTGAAGAGGAGGGAAGACAATTAATATCCATCCAGCCCTTCTGCAAACCAGGGGCTTGGTACATGGTATCTCATTTATTCTACATAACAATCTTCTGGGATGCATAGGATTAAATCCATTTTGGAGATGAGGAAGTGGAAGCTGAGTGGTTAAGTTAGTTATCCAGGATCACACACCCAATGCTGAGTCCTAAGAATAAGGACTAAGGATTTGTCCACTACACTGAGGTCCCCAGACCTACCTGTGCATCAAAGTCATTCGAGTTTTAAAAATTTCACATTTCCCGGCCCCACCCCTAAGATTCTAAGTCAGTAGGTCTGGGTGGGGCTCTGGAATTCACAGAACCCTACGAATAGTCTGCTTCTAGCTTGGCTTTTAAATAGCTATCTGATTAGTTGGATAAGTCATTTCACATTTGAAAGCCTCTTCCACACCAGCACTTCTGGTTGGTTTTCTTTTCTCAAGGAAATAGTATTTTTATTATAGCATGAGCATAGCCCTTTTCCTGAAGCCAACTGGAGACTAAGCCAATAGAGAAGCTGATGCAGAATGCTCTTCCAAGCTCTAAGCAGTCACGCGTACACGTTTTTAGATTTTGATTCTGCATATGGGTTTCCGCAACATCCTCTCCCCGCAATATGCAGGTACACGGTAAATACTTTTGAATTGAATTGAAATGTGATTGTATATAATCCTCATAACTCTGTAAAGTAGGCTCAATAATTCCCAATGTGATGGCTCACTGGTTTTCCACAGTAAATAGAACTGGGATATGAATCCTTTCTGATTGCCAAAATCTAGTCCAACAACCTGGGGGCATCGACCTGGGAAAGGCTGGACACTTCGGAGTCTGCTCAGAAGAACTGAGAATTGCGAGGCTCTGCTGGGAACGGGCAGCAGTGGCTCCTTGGTCTCTGGTAGTCACATATTCCCTTTGTTGTCTCTTTCCCCGCCTGTGATGGCATTAATAGCCACTCATATCCTCACACTACACAGGACAGGTAATGGCCGTGTCGATAGCTGCTATCACCTAGGAGTACTCAAGCCAGCCAGCGCCACTGCCTTCAAGATCCGTCTGAAGTTGAAGAGAGGGAGAGCTGAGGCCTGGGTGGGACAGGGTCCGAGGACACCACAAGAGGTTAGGCCACAAGAGTCCCTGTGTTTCCTCTCTTAAATTGTCAGAGAACCTGCAGAGAAAACCCCACTGCTTTATAGGAGAAAAAACACCCTGACGGCCAGGAACAGGGCAGGTGCTGAATTTAATGCACTTGTGCTGTATATGTGGACTTGCAAACAGAGCTAATTTAGAAGTGGCCAATATAGAAGCTGAATCATGAACTGTGGCAATTCATGACGCAAACTCAATTCGGGTTTAAAGGGTGAGTTGCCTTCTCAAGGAAAGTTAAGTAGCCGGAAACTTACAGAAAAGGGCCTGTCTCCACACTCAGAGAAAGGGATGGTAATGCAAGAATTTTACAGGCTCCAACTGAAATGCGGCCCCCTCAGTGACTGTCCATGACACTCTAAGCTAAAGCCAAGGGGCCCCCTTGGTAATTGGTGGCGTGGAGGAGATAAACTACATTTTCATATACAAGCCACTCTCAACTTTATCTCTGCAATCAAGTCATCTCACCTCATAAGAACAAGGTAATAACTCCAGTGAATGAAAAAATAGAAAAGAATAACATGCCAGATCTTTCATCAGTTAGAACACGCAGTTTGGCAAAGACTGGGAACCGGGTTATCTTTTGCACCCGCGACCCCAATTCAGCTAATGCCTTACACTTGCAGAGCATTGTCTAGCTTCCAGTCCTTTTCACACTTCTGATCTCCCTGCATCCTCAAACCGCACAACGTGAGTGAGGAGGGCTCGATTTTGCAGATTAGAAAATTATTTTTTAAAAATGTTGTATGCGTGGCTGAAGCACCACCAAAACCCATCAAAGGGGGTTGGAAACTTCCAGTACAGTGCTCCTCAGACACTTTTTGCCTGTGTGACTTCTTTCCAGTGTTTTCTCAATCCTGAAATACTCGGTTTTTCTTTCTACAGGAACATAATATGCTGGGCCACCTCTCACTTTCTGCTAGTATTTCTTTATCCAGGTCTGGGTTCCTTTTTCACACACGATGTGCATACAATGGCTCAGATTTCCTTTCCCTGTCCCACCTGAGCCCTCACATATCGTATTTGCCCTTCTCTCCGACCTAAGGACACGTTTTTCTTCTGCTGCTCTCTGAGCACCCTTTTGGCTCACTTCTCTCATCTTTTATCAACTCCCCTAACTCCAGATTCCTCGGCTCCTGTCTTACCTCTTTACTTTCAAGTCATCAGAAACACGAAGCCCCGCTGTCATAACGCAGACATTTTTAAGGCCACTTTACAAACTGATTGAGCAGAAAGGAGGGCGCTTTGCTGGCTGCTGATAATGCTTTAATAACATTCTCCTACCACAAGCGCTTGGGTGCTAAACTGGATTCCTGAAACCACACACCACACTTTGTGTGAATAAGTGTGAAAATAATATATTAGTGTTTCATTCAGCTAAGTGTCTCTGGCACTGACAACAATAGCCCTGAAACCAGGTTCCTTTTTATTGGGCACAATTATTTTTCTTTCCTATGAAATCTTGCTATTTTGCAATAAAGTATCTGTATCAGTAAATGTGTTTCTACACCAGTAAAATAATCCTTGTGGCACAGGGGTCTGGCGCTTTCCTTCAGGAAATGAGAATGTCTAAAGAAAACAAATATTAGCTCTACATTCAGAGGATTTTGTACATTGCATTTAGTGCCCAGTAAGGGACCTGATCTATAAAACATGCAAAGAAGATACAATATGAAGAGTTTATAGTTTAGATCAAAAACAAATGTTGTCATTTAGTCTCCTGGTGTACAGTAGGTACCCAATAAATCTTTGTGGAGAAAATATCAAGCTCTAACCCTAATCTATATTCTCTCACCACCATTGTGTCATACGATCTGGGAGTTAGTAAGGAAATTAAGGGTCACTTTATATAACCACTAGTCCACATCATTATGGCTAAATAATATTAAACTAAATAACTTAGAGGACTTTCTCCAGGTCGATGAATGTATAATAACAGATAAGAAAATGAGGGCAAAAGAAAACCTTGCCATTTTCCCCATGTAAAGTAGGCAGTGGGCGTCATGATGGCTAAATGGTCTCATTGCTACGTGCCTAGTAAATCGTGATCACAGACCATGGAGATTTCCTACCAATTCAAGGAGTTTAGACTGATTTCTTTTCCAGGTGTTTAAATGGACACCAGGAACTTCTCTGGTTTTTACCTCTCTAATATTCTCTCTGGAAAACTCATGGTTTAACCTGATTCTCATTACATTTTTTCTTATGGCCTCATAAATACTGATCAAGAACAATAATTGGAGGATTAACAATGAATGTTGGGGGTAAATGGAAGGTATAATTACAAGAACAGTTGTTGCGTGTTTCTTAAGCCAAAATCGACTCCCTTATATCTTTACAGACTTGATCCTACTTTTGGGGCAAAGTATTACTCATGGTAACTTTGCCACTCAAGTTGTAATAAAAGCATCATTTGAGTTGCAATGTGAAACATTCCAGCATTCTTGTTGCCAATGAAATACCTTCTTTTAAATGCTTGCTAAGGTCCTCGGTCTACACAAAGGCTCTTAATTTTGCTTAATTTGCTCTAAGTGGATTCTGTACCCAGCTGAAGAGGGAGGAAAAGAAAGAACTCAGTTTGCTGGTAGCTCTATTAGCTCCTGCTACATTAAGACACTGGATTTGAGGGCAAGCTTTGGGGGACTCTCTGCCTCATCTTCAAACTGAGCTGACGCTCGTCAACTTTTCTGGCTCTGATCAGCACACGGACAGAAAAGACAAGTACGTGGATCCCTGACACTTGTGTCAGTCCTGGTTTCACCAAAGGGCACAAGCAATCACTCTCATATAATCATACAAAACGGTAAATGATGTAATACTTTTTTCCTGTTGCTTAGTTCTTGCAAAGATTTAGGAGTAAATCCTCAACCATCTAGATTCAGGCCAAAAGGAACGAGCAAAGTTGGCAGAGAGGCAGACGTTCGTAACAGAGACCTTCTCCATCGTGATTTTGTGGTACATTTCTATTTTGATAATGCCCGAACCATCCCCAAATAAATAAGTGGCCAAAATAAGTCTGAGAAAGCGAAGTAGAAGAGACAATAATTTTTTATTTGTCTCACTGGCTCTGGCACGAATCCCCACCTGGTCTTCAGCCAGAAGCCCAGTGCTGTGGGAAAGAGCATGTAGGTACTCGATGCTTTGAGCCAGAAGATAACCACAAGCAGTCACAAGGAGCAACACAAATCCCTCAGGCCACTGGCTGCTGACCTTGACACATTAAACCCTAATGACACATTCTTACTGAACATAAAATAGGCATGATAAGGCATGAGTGGAAATGTGAGGGCAGGGTCTTCATCGCAGGCCACCTTCCCCACGTATAAACCTGTGGGGGCGGTAACGTCCAGCAGTCTGCTGTGGCTGTGTGACAGCATGGAAAAAGCATGCATAGAGTTTGGAAGCAAAGAATGGGAGCGTGCAGCCTGGGCTCATCCATTTACCAGTTGTGTGACCTTGGAAACTTTGGGCTTCAGTTTCCCGTAAAGCAGGGACTGGAGGAACTGCCTCACATGCTCACTAGGAGGAGCAGATGAGAGAATGTTCCTACAAGTTCCTTCTTCACCTTCAACTGTGCTGACCAGTGCCGTCAGTGTTGGCCCCGGGGAAAGGTCACCAGCCACAGCTGAATCCCAACGGGTGCTCCAGCTCTAGAGCTTGAAGACCCTGGGTGTGGCTGGTGCGCAGGCAGCCCCATCACTCATCAGCGGAGACCTAAAACCCGCCTGGAGAAGGCAGCCCCATCACTCATCAGTGGAGACCCAAAACCCGCCTGGAGAAGGCAGCCCCAGACAGAAAGCTGGGTTCCGCCAGCAAGGCTTTCACAGCTGTACT